GCAGCTCACCATTTTGTTTACGTGGATTAAAGGAGATTTCACCTTACCTAAGGAATTCCCACCCACAAGCACTTCCCCCGGTTTCAGTGTCACCAGTTCCTCTCTGGGTTCCTGTTCAGCCCCAAGTGGCACCAGCTCTCAGTGTGTGCTGTTGGCTCAGTGCAGAACAGCCCCAGCTCCCTCTGGCAGAGGGAGAGGAGATTCCATCCCTGCACCCAAACCCTGCCTTGCCATCCCCCAGCTGCAGTACAGGAATTCTCAGCCACTCCTATAACCAGTTCACTACATGTGTGCTGCAAAACACACAGAGCAGAGCTACAGCAAGTGTTAGCTGTGGGTACATACATCAGTGGCTTTCTTCTCTGCCTGCTCCAGTTTCTCCTGGGCGTCTTTGAGAGCCTCTGAGTACTTGTCCAGCTCATCTTCAGTTCCTTTCAACTTCTTCTGAAGAGCTACCAGCTCATCCTCTACCTTTCAGGAGAGAAAAACCCCAAAGTGAACATCCTGATGCAGTATCAGAGTTTCACCTGATAAAACCTCTGAATACTGTTAGTTTTAACCCAATACAACATGCAGAGAGTCACAAATGACCAGATCAAAGTTCTGCTGGGGACAGCACTCTGAGTTGCAGTTGCCAGGCAAAGATCATTACAAACATCTCATCCTTGAACAACATTCCCTGCTGCCACACACACAGGATCTGGTTTAATACATAACTTGGTATCAGTCCTTTTTCACCTCATTTTTGCTCTGGACTCTCTAACACCCTACAGCCGTTAGTGCTGCAGGCTAATTATAAACGGCTTAATTGATGTCCTTGTGTTTGTTTCTGTTACCTGGTGATTTATTGGGAAACTATTCGGTTCCTGTACAGCTGGAAAAAATGAGTGGTTGTTCCCTAATCGCCTTTGTGTGTGGTTCAGGACAGTTCAACCCAAACGAGATACCCTGGAAGTGGGAGGGAGCAGGGCTGGTCTTGCTGTGGGTGGAACCTGGTGACCTCGAGAGAGGTCCCTTCCAACCTGGATTCTTCCCTAATTGTGGCCCAACGAGATATGCTCGATCCTGCCGTGGGGCTCTGGCTCCTCCACACCATATAAATCCATATTGTTCCCTAGAATGGGGCTATTTATATCCTGCTGGGAGACTGTTTAATGACAAACAGTCTCATGCTCCCCCAAGAATTCCCTTATCAGAGGCTTGCTGCTGATAAGGGTGGGCCCATCTGCTCCAGCCTTTCATTTGCAACACAAAACAGCTCAGTCTGCCCAGGCACTGATTTACCCGTTTAGCTCTGCCTTCAGGGAGATTTAGTCTGTCAAAATAGTTGGTGTTTTAGTGCACTTCCTTCACTCTGGCTACGAGTTTTAAAGGCATTTTTGGTAGTGTGCTATTGTGGAATGTTGGTGTGTTGCAGGAGTTTTACTCAGAGTAACCACAGAGTGTGAGAGAACTTGTTTGGATGCTCTACCAGAGGAGAGTGAGAGAGAGTGAGAGTGAGGATGAAGGTGCTGCTGCCTCTGTTCAGGACATTCAAATCACCTCTTGAGTACTGTGCCCACATTAAAAGTTGAAAAATTCGAGACAACTCAGAGGAGTAAGATCAAAGAGTAATTTTTTTGAAAGAAAAAGAAGTATTAGGCCAAATGAATGCTAATCTATCAGAGCAGTCTGGAAGATGTAGTAGAAGCAGCCAAATTTAGAGCAGGTAAAAGGGAAATATGTGGTAAATTTACAAGGAGTGAAAACTTGAGTGTAGCCAACTTACATTTCAAGATCCTTCTGAAAGCACTAAAGCTCAACGAGGAGGGAAACACACAGAATAAAGACATTGAAAAGCAAAGGAGTATGTGACAACATTTCCATGAAAACTCAGTTCAAAGAAGAGCATTGAAATGAAGATATTTCTGATGATTCCTGACAAAAAAAATAATAGAACATATCCCCTGTTGAGTCTCAGCTCTCAGGGGCACTCTGAGCACCAAGGACTCCAAATGAACATTATTAATTCACTCCAAGGAGAGGCTTAATTAATGTTTAGACACAGTTGGCTCTATTAGCACCAGTCCTACAGGTGTCAGGGTTTGCAGCTTTGATTTGAAGGACGTAAAGGCCTTTTCCAGGGAATCAAAAGCACAAGAAAATTAAGTCAATTCTGTAAGGTTCACGAAAACTTAGGCAAAGTGCTGTTAATAATCAGTGGGTGATGTTAATTTTGCAGAGACTCAGATGGCTGAGAAGTCACTGCCTGGCTCTGGCTGTAGGAGCGTAACAAGAAAGCAAAAAACTTCAAAAGGAGATTAACAGCAAACCTGACTTGGAATTATTTTGCTTTCTGAATCAGAAAATTGCAACAGGGTATTTTGCTACACTTGTTTTCACAGCTCACACACAGGCACTGGTTTTATTTCCACCTACCTGCTTGCATTTATCCTCAGCTGCCTTCTTATCTGTCTCAGCCTGCTCCGCTCTGTCTATGGCATTCTCCTTGTCCAGCTTCAGCATCTGCATCTTTTTCTTGATAGCTTCCATTTTTGCTCAAGGAGAGGTTGGATCTGTCACACAACTGAAAGAATTCCAAGAGTGAAGTTGGATGTTTTTAACAGCTTGGGCAAAAGGAAGAAGTTATACCCAAGCAAGTCCCAGGAGAAAATGAGCTCAAGTGGTTGTAGAGAGCTTTAAACCCAGAGACCCCTGGACAAAACCCAGATCTTGTGGCCTCCTCTCTGATCTTCCATCCACAGCCGTGCTAAGGAATGAGCTGGAACAGGCTCACTAGAGGAATCTTCACCACTCCATCATCTCCTTATTTGGGTCCCGTTTTCTTAAAGAGAAAACTGTTTCCATTTTTAAGCTTCTGACAGAAGCAAAAGTGTTGACATATGAACACATGCTGGAAACAAAGCTGATTAGCACCCGTTTGTGTGTGCAGAGCAATGAACCAGCCCAGCAGATCTATGGGGATGGCCTGGCTCCTGGGAAGAATGGCATAAGGCTAGAATGAAGGGAAAGATCTTTTTAGATTGCTCCAAAATAACTCCATGCATTAAATAAAAAATTGAATCAAATCTGGAGCTAAATGTATGATATAAAAAGATGTAGGATATGAGACAGCAGGGGGTTCTTTTTGCTGTAAAAATAAGCACTGGTGTTAAGGAACTAGCTATAATCTGTGCTAGTATAACACATAAGAGAGCTCAGATTTAGAAAGCGAGTTCAGGCTCGAGGCACTCAGTGAAGTCCTTGAAATTTCCCTCAGTGAGTACTTGGGGAACTGAACTGAACATACACCTGAAGTCACAGGCTGATGAGCACAGGAAATGATCTCTGATGTTTGAAGGAGTCACCTTCTCTCTGTCAGGCAAGAGCAGCTCTGGGAAGAACACCAGGAGCAGCTGCACTGAGGACACCAACCAGAGCATCCAACAGCCCCAGGACGAGCCCTGTGTCCTTTTGCTGCTCTATTGAACACATCCCAGATTAAATTTAGGTTAGATATTAGGAAGATTTTCCCTGTGAGGGTGGTGAGACACTGGCACAGGTTGCGTGGCTTCCTCAAACCTGGCAGTGTTCAAAGCCAGGTTGGATTTGCCTTGAGCAACCTGCTCTGGTGGGAGGTGTCCTTGCCCAGGGCAGAGGTTGGGGCTGGATGATGTCTAAGCTCCATCCCAACCCCTAAAATCCTATGATTCTATGATCCCCATACTGCTCTCTCCATCCCTGCATATGTGAGGGCTTCACACCTGCCTTGTTTTCACTGCACTGATGTGCTGCACTGACCAGGGCAGCACTCCCTGACCCTGTCCCTGTGTGGAGTCACAGAGCATCCTGAGCTGAGAGTGACCCACAAGGTACAAATCCAACTCCTGTCCCTGCACAGACACCCCAACAATGCACCCTGAGAGCATTGGGCAAACACTCCTGGAGCTCTGTCAGCCTTGGGGCTGTGACCACTGCCCTGGGGAGCTGTTCAGTGCCCAAACACCTCTGGATGAAGACCCTTGTCCTGATCTCCAACCTAACCCTGTTCAGTGCCCAAACACCTCTGGATGAAGACCCTTGTCCTGATCTCCAACCTAACCCTGTTCAGTGCCCAAACACCTCTGGATGAAGACCCTTGTCCTGATCTCCAACCTAACCCTGTTCAGTGTCCAAACACCTTTGGGGGAAGAACCTTGTCCTGATCTCCAACCTAACCCTGTCCCAGTGCCCAAACACCTCTGGGGGAAGAACTTTGTCCTGATATCCAACCTAAACCTCCCTATCCATATATTTCCCCAATTCTTTCCCCACTCCAGGTCCCGTTGAGCACCCAACGACCCTTTCCCCCCAGTCTGTGCTCCCCCCGGCCCTGTGCTCCCTCAGATGATGCTCAGATGGGTCCCCCAGACTCTCCATGCCCTCACTCCTTCCCTCAGGAGCTCCGACAGCATCCCCAGCCATGAGAGCACTGGGAAGCTCAGCACAAACCCCACAACTCCCCCATCCTTTGAGGCGAGCTAGCACAGCCCTGAAAACCCTTCAGGCACTGCAAAAACTACCCTTTTATCGAGCTAAACGTGACGGCAGAACAGACACAAAGCCACCACCCGTGGGCAGCGCCAGAACTCTGCGAACTGCCCCAGTAACCCCACTAGGCTGTCAGTGCACTCGCAGGGCTGAGGTTTGGGAACGGTTTATTGTTATTTAAGACAATAAAAGGGAACTGGAGCCTCTTTCCCCTCCCCGCCCCAAGATGGCGGCCGGGGGCGCCCGCGGGCTGTGCTGAGGCGGCGCCAAGATGGCGGCGCGGGCGGGTTAGCTCGCCCCTCATGAGTTTCCCGCGCTCTGCCGCTTGGGGCTCTTGGTGCTTTTTTTCTTTTTTTTTTTTCTTGTTTAATAAAGTAATAATCGGAGTTTTTCTCCTCTCACATTGCTGTGTGCTGGGAAAGCCTTGCTGCAGCGGCTCGGGGGGGGTGTGACTCTGCCCATTGCCGCCCAAGAGA